TTGAACAGTTACCGCAATTTTGAGCAGTGCATGTCAAAGCTGACAGAGAGTCTCCCTGCTGCAGGCAATGTCCATCTCAAGCAGGAGAAGGTCTACAATGATGCGTTTTTCTCCCTGCTTGCTTTGAAAGTGTCGAGTCTAGAAGTTGCTAGAAGAAGTACGGTGTCGAGTACCTGGACCCGTGTGGCATGTGGCTTGCACATATGCCTCAAAAAGAGCCCCAAAATATATGTGTATATATATNNATATTATACTATATGGTATTATATTGTATTACATTATACCAGACAAAATTCACTACTTTATATTAGGTAGTATACAATACTATACTGTACTCGTATTTTGCTATGTTGTATGATACGAATACTATAATACAATGTAAAATGCCGGACAATTACCCACACATCCTAGTTGCAGGAAGATGGCGTGGAAACGTGTCAAACCTTGCTTCCGGGACAGCTGCACGAAGCCCAGCCTTCCTGTGCAGGGGATCAGAGTTCAAGATCAGGGGCCCAGTGTTTTCTGCATGCTGGACCCTAGAGGAGAAAGAACGCGTGTAATTTGGAAAGCCCAGCAAGCAGCCCCTGCGCTCCCCATGTAGCTTGACAAGCATGCCTTCATGTCCCATTTTATCTTTGTGTCCAGCAGATACTCCTTCGCAGGAGCCCGCCCTTCTGCTTTTTTCCTCGGAGGGGCTTAGGTCCTAGACCCAACACCCAAAATCTGCGGTCGAGGTTTGGATCTTGGATTCAGCATACCATCGAGCCGTTGTCTGCAGTCGCTGCTACCAGCTGTGAGGCTCTCCATGTGGGTTACTACTGTAATACTGTTGAATAGCCCTTATGGCTAGAACTATTGCTAACAGTCTTACAGCTACCTCATGTTGACTTTAATTCTTGTTGTTCGCATTAGAGCTGCTATTCCTGTTGCGAGAACTCTTAAACATGACTACAAAAGTCTTTATTGCTAAGAATATCGGCATTGTTGTGATTACCATTATTTCTGTTGTATTTCGTTTTTTTTTTTTTTTTT